TGGGGCTTTCTCAAGCGCCCCTCTAATGGGAGGCTCTTCTGCACAGCAGTGGCGTTCAACCACGCCGTTGCAGGGCTGCTCCTATATCTGCCTTGAAAGAGACGACTTCTCTATCTACACGCGCTCTTATTCCTGATCTCGAACCAACAAACAAATGTATTTGACAACGTAAACATTAAACTAAGCTAAAACTGTTTTATTGTACCAGGTAAGGCCTACTTGAGCTATGCATCTCTTTTTCAAAAGCGACCTGCCCACAAATGATGGCACAACAAAGTGGCTTATCACGTGGACATTCATAGCAGCCAAATACTTTAAACGAATGTTGATTCTAAATGTGGAGGGGGAAACCCGGAGGAGAAGAGTCCACGCGACCACAGGGATGGAGACACGCAATCTGCAAATGTACAGCAGCAGGCGTCAGGGTCGGGATCGAACTCACGCAACTCCTGCATACCAGGCGAAGTAGTTAACATGTCGCCACCACGGCGCCCTAATAAACACAATAAAGTACGATGGACATGGCTCTAAAAACTCAACCATGAAATTTCCCCGCCACTAATGTGGTGTGTGTATGCAGAATATACATTTATTTCAACTGAGTCCCAAAACCAATTTCCAAGAGGATCCTGATTTGAGACAATGTGTTGGCCCAGTTACTTGATGGAGTACATCAGAGGTCGCAAACGGGTACCCGATACCCGTACCCTACCCGATACCCGGCTACCCGTACCCGGCCAGGTACGGGTACGGGTACCCGTTTGCGACCCTGGTGCGGCCGGGTACGGGTACGGGTAGGCGTGAGTCACTGGTGAGTAACTGTTTGTCACTCATTTCGGGTAGGGTACGGGTACGGGTAGGGAACGGGTACCCGTACCCGGCCGGGTACGGGTACGGGTACCCATTTGCGACCCTGGTGCGGCCGGGTACGGGTACGGGTAAAGAATCAAACCCCGTTTGCGACCTCTGGAGTACATTTATCGTTTCACGTTGGAGTGAACTAAAGAAAACACTAAACTCTGTCAGGAAGCAACAAGTATCGTCATCATCAGCAGCAGCAGTAGTAGCAGCAGTAGCAGCAGCAGTATCTTCTTATAATTGGCTCGACATTTCAGATACATACCTGCTACATGTGATGCTTGAGATCACTTCTGTGGCAAGGCTTGCATCCAGCGGTGGGCTTGACGTTGTCCGATAATGAGGATGATGTTGTTCAATGGATATTTCTCAATTAAAAATCGCACAGCAATTATAAAACAAAGATTTTTTTTTCTTATTCGTCTTCCGTGCGAATTGCGTCTCACAGTCGCTGGGGAACCAACAGGCAAGCTGAGAGGCACCGGCCAGGCGGTGAGCCGAGGACACCAACAATTTCCCAAGCTCTGCAGTCCTCGATACATTAAGATGTTTTCAACCTCGATTTAAAGCTTTCGTGACTGCAGGGATTCATCTTCTTGGTTCTTTCGGTAAAGTCACGGGTGACTTTACTGAAAGAACCAAGAAGATGTTTTCAACCATTTAAAAGGGTATTTGTACATGAATGCACAAACATGATCACCATTATCATCATCATCAAAATCAATCAAATATCATCTTCAATCATCATCATCATCATACAATCGTCATCATTATCAGTCCACGATCATCATCATCACATCTATCGTCGCTGATGCTGATGGTGATATCGAACTGCCGTCGTGGTTGGTTGAGAGTCCGGGATGTGTGATCTTTCTCGGCTCGTTAGGCAGAGGTGCAAAAGTTGACCAAGCGCCCGCGGTTAAATCGAGAGGCATCAAGCGAAGCGGAGCGCGCTAATGGGCGCCTCGATCGCACCCTCGTCACAACTCCTCCTCCGCCGCTGTGCAAGCAGAGGTGGTGGTGGGGGGACCCTCAATAACGACTCCCTTTGTGACGCACGTGCGGCGAGCGTGCACCGCAGCAGCGACGTTCCCACGGCCGAGAGACGAGGTGTGGGCGACGAGGTACGAGGTGGGTAGGGGGGGGGGTGGAAGAGGTGGAGGCTGCGTAGAAATCCGAGTTCGATACCCGCTTACTTGCGAGCATCACCATTGGGCGAGTGTCTGATTCGGTCGTGAAGCCCCCAACGCTCCCACTCCCCCCCCCCTCCCAACTAGTACCTGCTGCGGTTTGTTAAAAATTGCCGCTGGGGAGACAAAGGCGGTCGTGTGTTCGTGGTGCTGCACGGCATCCCACAACCCCCATCGTGTGCCGTGCCGGCCTCCGTAGGGTGCTACTCGCTAACAGCACTCGCCCCAACAGTCTGTTGAGGCTATACGGGGGAGCTTTGTCTTTGGGGTGTAGGGTGGTGGCTGAGGCGGCATTCACAGCGACATCAGAAGACGATGTCTTACCAATATTCTGTAAATTAAGGGGACGGTAAGTTTGTTTTCATTAAGTTGCTTGTGCGGCCGTCTGTTGAAAAGATGGTCACATTTGATGATTTCTGTCCTTTAGCAATCCATTGTTGGATCAAGACCTCATCACTCCGTGTCGGTGATAGAGACGGGGGGGGTGTGGGTTTCGGGGGTGTTTGACCATACTTCACTGCGCTGGTCAGTGCGGGCTAATTAGAAACAAGGGGGGGGGGGAGGGGGTCAGATGTCACTCACCGCTGATGTCCGCTCAGATGGCCCGGTTCATAGCGCAGTGCGCTAACCACTGCGCCACCGCTCCACCTCGAGGCGATGGAACAACAATGGAAACGCATCAAGTGCTTCGGTGAAGCTTGGAATGATTCTCTTTTTTTGTTCAATAAAGCGGGGAGGTTGTGATGAATGGTGAAATGCGTGAGTTATTGTGCGTGCAGGCCACTCTGTGTGCCGCGTCGCAATATCCAATGCCTACCGGTGGAGATACAAAGGCGGTCGAATTTTTGGTCTCAATACCTGCACTGCTGGCGATACCAACTGACGGCAACGCGCGCTCGGCATGTCATGTACTAAATATGAAGGCTCAGTCAACCTAGAGGAGAGCCGTGCCGCGTAGAGTTAACTCACCCATGGGACCACAGCGAATGTTGAGCCTGGCTCTGTGAGATTCGGGCATTGACACTGATGCCTAGATTTATGGTCGCCAGATAATCGCTAATCTTAAACACCCAGTCGTTCATAAAAGTTTAAGGCGGTATAGTACTATAGTAATAGAGCAAGTGCAGAATCACTAAACCGGAATTGATAGCTTGAGAGCATTTAGCGCGGGGCCCTTGAAAGTGCGGGGCCCGTAGCTACACACGTAGCTACTTTTGCTTAGAGGATAATCCAGCACTGCTCTAGATATCGCTCGCCACTGATGTTCGCCGTGTCAAAGATGACATCGGCAGGGCCCGGGAAGAATCACGCCGTACCCTCGGGACGACTCTGGTCATCGGGCAGCGCAAACGCCACCACTGTGCCGATGCTCTCGCCCCAACGCGCTCTGTTTATTTGCGTGCGCGCGCGCGCCATAACCATTGAAGTCGAGGAGAGAACGCGTCCGCGTGGACGAGCGCCGCGGAGATGGAGCGACGAGATTGGATCGCGTCCCGCAGGAGCGCCATGGGTGGTGCGAGTAGCGCTGGACCGTGAGGGATGGCCGCCTTCATCCAGCAGTGGATAGACAATGGCTGGCGCTGTTGCTGCTGATGATGATGATGATTAAATGATGATGATATTCTTGTTTGGACAACACTAAACAACGTGTGATACTGCGCTGGAAGTGGATCCATATCTGAAACGTCTATTGCTTACTGATTCCTCTGTAGGGCGGTATGATTACCGAATGTGTCGAATTGGGTATTTGTTGTTGCGTGGCTTTTTCTTATACGTCTCGCTAAGCACGTGCCGTCCTTGTAGTGTTGGTAGTAACTGCTGTTGTTGTTGCTGCTGCTGCTGTTGTCAATTTAGTCTCAGCTGCCCACGCTCTCTCTCTTACTTTCTCTCTCTTTCAAGTTAACCCTAAGCTCATTATCCAGCCCCAGTCAATGACCGTGCCCACGTGAACGCACTGCCACTGCACTCGACACGCGCAGAGGTGTTCATCTCCAACGTGGGGCTGGCCGTGTTGCTGCCATCGGCGAGTACGACTGCCGTATTCTCACGATTATAAGACGCTTCGGAGAGTAAGACGCACTCCCCCCTCCCCTAACCTACCCCCCCCCCCCCCCGCGCAATAATTGTTGTTCCCGGTATCAAATGAAGGTATAGAAAATCACACAAACACACACACAGCGATCGGATTTAAAAGACAGAGCAGCAGCCCCAACGATTCGTGAGTCGTATCAATCTGGAGAATGCGGTATTCGCATCGATTAAAATAAAACGTGACGACCAATGCTTGATCGATCCACTGCTGGATGAAGGCTGCCCCCCCCCACGCCGGACCGTCGGTCGTGACGGTCGTTTCACCAAACTTCACCAAACGTCACCATACTTCACCATACTTCACCACACTTCACCATACTTCACCCACGCTGGCCTTGCACGTGTGCGCGAGGGGCGCCCCGTCTCTCGTTAGCATATGCTAATCCACTCAAAGAGCTCCCTGCAGTTCTGTGGGCCAGCTCGATGTGTCATTACATCAGCGGCATTGTTTCGAATCGGCCCCTGCAAATGTCACCCCCCGCCCCCTTCAACCTCACCACCAAACACCAACCACCCCCCGTGAATGTCCCACCTCCTCCTCCTCTCCTAGCACACCCCCCCCCTACCGTGAGTGTCCCACCTCCTCTGCCAACCCCCCCGCACCCACCACGCGAGACCACGTGCAATCGGAACATCTCACGGTGGCCGCATCACCTCATTTGAATGTCACAGTCGCGCCATATAAAGACGGTGGTGGCAGCACCCGCTTCCTTCAGGTCACTTTGGCTCGAGACCACAAACCCAAAAGCCTCGAAGCCTTTCGCCTCCTTCAACCCTCGACAGACAAGAAGCAGACACCGACCACCGCCTAACCCCCCCCTCCCCCCCGCTACATCCCCGTCCCTCTTCCACGGCTTCACGATGCAGGGCCCTTCGATCATCCACCGCGCCCTTGGAGGACCCTTCTATTACTCGGCTCTCGTGACTGCTCCGCCGATGATGCTGCCCCCGTCCGCAGCGTCTCAGGTCATGCACTTCGCGCGTCCGCTCCTGACCACTCGGAGTCACCCTCCGTCGCCTTCCTCTTCCCCGCTTTCCCCGGCACTCGCCTCCGCCGCCGCCGCTCTTCCATCGCCACCGCCGCCACGTCACCCTCGCCCGCCTGCAGCCGCCGAGGACACCTCGGCCGGGAAGAGACCCTCGTTCAGCATCGAGGCAATCCTCGCTCGCTCGTCCGACTTCGAGTCGAGGAGGGCACCTCGCGACCGCGCGGTCGCGGCGTGGACGAGGCCGGCACAAGCGGGGCCCAACTCGGGCACGCAAGCGCCTGGGTCCGCGGGCTACCTCCGAGGGGTCCCTCCGTCCCCCTTGATGTACCCCGTTTCCGCGCTGGGATACTACCCCTGCTCGTGCCACGGCACGGTCCTGCGCGGCCGCGGTGAGTGTCTTCCCCGTCGTCGTCATCTTCATCATCACCGTCGTCGTCATCTTCATCATCATCGTCGTCGTCGTCATCATCATCATCACCGTCGTCATCATCATCATCATCGTCGTCATCTTCATCATCACTGTCGTCGTCATCTTCATCATCACTGTCGTCGTCATCATCATCATCACCGTCGTCGTCATCATCATCATCACCGTCGTCGTCGTCTTCATCATCACCGTCGTCGTCTTCATCATCACCGTCGTCGTCATCTTCATCATCACCGTCGTCGTCGTCTTCTTCATCACCGTCGTCGTCTTCATCATCACCGTCGTCATCTTCATCATCACCGTCGTCGTCGTCTTCATCATCACCGTCGTCATCTTCATCATCACCGTCGTCGTCGTCTTCATCATCACCGTCGTCATCTTCATCATCACCGTCGTCGTCGTCTTCATCATCACCGTCGTCGCCGTCTTCATCATCACCGTCGTCGTCTTCATCATCACCGTCGTCATCTTCATCATCACCGTCGTCGTCATCTGCATCATCACCGTCGTCGCCGTCTTCATCATCACCGTCGTCGTCATCTTCATCATCACCGTCGTCATCTGCATCATCACCGTCGTCGTCATCTTCATCACCGTCGTCGTCATCTTCATCACCGTCGTCGTCGTCATCATCATCATCACCGTCGTCGTCATCTTCATCATCACCGTCGTCATCTTCATCATCACCGTCGTCGTCATCTTCATCATCACCGTCGTCACCTTCATCTTCACCGTCGTCATCTTCATCACCGTCGTCGTCGTCATCTTCATCATCACCGTCGTCGTCATCTTCATCATCACCGTCGTCGTCATCTTCATCATCACCGTCGTCGTCATCTTCATCACCGTCGTCGTCGTCATCATCATCACCGTCGTCGTCATCTTCATCATCACCGTCGTCACCTTCATCTTCACCGTCGTCATCTTCATCACCGTCGTCGTCGTCATCATCATCACCGTCGTCGTCATCTTCATCATCACCGTCGTCATCTTCATCATCACCGTCGTCACCTTCATCTTCACCGTCGTCATCTTCATCATCACCGTCGTCGTCATCATCTTCATCACCGTCGTCATCTTCATCATCACCGTCGTCGTCATCTTCATCATCACCGTCGTCACCCTTCTCTTCACCGTCGTCCTCTTCATCACCGTCAGTCGTCGTCATCATCATCAACCGTCGTCGTCATCTTCATCATCCACCGTCGTCGTCATCTTCATCATCACCGTCGGTCGCCCGTCTTCATCATCACCGTCGTCGTCATCTTCATCATCACCGTCGTCGCCGTCTGTTTCATCATCCACCGTCGTCGTCATCTTCATCACCGTCGTCATCTTCATCATCACCGTCGTTCATCATTCATCATCACCGTCGTCGTCATCTTCATCATCACCGTCGTCATCTTCATCATCACCGTCGTCGTCATCTGCATCATCACCGTCGTCGCCGTCTTCATCATCACCGTCGTCGTCATCTTCATCATCACCGTCGTCGTCCATCATCTTCACCGTCGTCATCTTCATCATCCGTCGTCGTCTTCATCGTCATCTTCATCATCACCGTCGTCGTCATCTTCATCATCACCGTCGTCGTCATCTTCATCATCACCGTCGTCATCTTCATCATCACCGTCGTCGTCGTCATCTTCATCATCACCGTCGTCGTCGTCATCTTCATCATCACCGTCGTCGTCGTCATCTTCATCACCGTCGTCATCTTCATCATCACCGTCGTCGTCATCTTCATCATCACCGTCGTCACCTTCATCTTCACCGTCGTCATCTTCATCACCGTCGTCGTCGTCATCATCATCATCACCGTCGTCGTCATCTTCATCACCGTCGTCGTCATCTTCATCATCACCGTCGTCATCTTCATCACCGTCGTCGTCACCTTCATCTTCACCGTCGTCATCTTCATCACCGTCGTCGTCATCTTCATCATCACCGTCGTCGTCATCTTCATCATCACCGTCGTCGTCATCTTCATCATCACCGTCGTCATCTTCATCATCACCGTCGTCGTCATCATCATCATCACCGTCGTCATCTTCATCATCACCGTCGTCATCTTCATCTTCACCGTCGTCATCTTCATCATCACCGTCGTCACCTTCATCTTCACCGTCGTCATCTTCATCACCGTCGTCACCTTCATCTTCACCGTCGTCATCTTCATCATCACCGTCGTCGTCATCTTCATCATCACCGTCGTCATCTGCATCATCACCGTCGTCGTCATCTTCATCACCGTCGTCGTCGTCATCTTCATCATCACCGTCGTCGCCATCTTCATCATCACCGTCGTCATCTTCATCACCGTCGCCATCTTCATCATCACCGTCGTCATCTTCATCACCGTCGTCATCTTCATCACCGTCGTCATCTTCATCATCACCGTCGTCGTCATCATCATCATCACCGTCGTCATCTTCATCATCACCGTCGTCGTCATCTTCATCACCGTCGCGAGTTTTCAGCAGCAGCGTTCAACACTTTCGGCCGCTAATAGTAACGTTAAAAAAGCAAAATGTGAGAAGATCTTGATGCTTGAAGGACACATCCACCTCTGGAAACTCGTTTATTATAAATATCATTACTGATGCTGCTGTTGCTGATGATGATTATCGGCAAGGTGATGCGTGTGGCGTTGCGGCAAATCTCGGAAGCTAAACGTGAACGAGCCCGGTTACTCGTGGTGAGCGCCGTTACTTCTAATGGGAGACGGCCCCTGGAATATCAGGGGTGTTGTAGACTCTGGTTGCGAAGTGGCTGTAGAGAGGTGGTGGTGGTGCAGCAAGCAAGAGATGTTTGAATCCATCTGTGCGGATATTGTAGTGTGTTATACTCGCGTATGCGTGTTGGGTTGTCTCCGAGTTCCCCGATTTCCTCCCACGCGAAGCCGAAATCTCATCAATGAAATTGGCCAAGCATCACAATGTGGCAGAGACCCTCCTGAAAAATAGCCTCGAGACTTGCCTGAAAACAAAAAGGGCATTACTGCGGTCATTCACGATGATCGATATATCGGTCATTCACGATGATCGATATATTGGTCATTCACGATGATCGATATATCGGTCATTCACGATGATCGGTATATCGGTCATTCACGATGATCGATATATCGGTCATTCACGATGATCGGTATATCGGCCATTCACGATGATCGATATATTGGTCATTCACGATGATCGATATATCGGTCATTCACGATGACCGATATATAGGTCACTCACGATGACCGATATATCGGTCATTCACGATGATCGATATATCGGTCATTCACGATGATCGATATATCGGCCTGTAGTCGCTGGAGGTGCTGCCTCCAGCTTGAAAAGGCTACAAACTCCACCCCGCGTTTTCCAGTCCCAGGCGATGCACAAAGGCAAGGGATGATGATGCTGCTGCTGCTGTTGCACCAGAGATGCTCAGCATCCGTGAGACCAGTTCTTCTGGGAAGCTGCACGGACGTCTGGTTGAGAATAAAAATGTTCTGATTGACAAAGCCACTGCCAGACCAGTTGCTACTCCCAATGCGCGTGCAACGTGATCATTAAAACAAATCCCGGTATGGATTTCGTAGCCGATTCAACCTGGAACCACGAGACGCCACTGTCTATGCCAACCAAAGGCTCATCACCCGGTCTGTTATAGTTTAATAACAGTTCATGGGCCCAGACTAGCCGTGTAATAAGACGGAAACCACCCTAAGCCCCCCCCCCCCCGTGCCAATCCACTGCTGGATAAGCTCCCCTCCACGCCCTGCAGTTCGCGAGGGTCACTTGACCATACTTCACCACGCTGGTCAGTCGGTAGTGCAGAATTCGCACATTACATTTGCTGCACCGCCATCTGCTTGCCCAATTACGGAGCAGAGCCGCGCAGCCGCTGCCGTGGACGGTGTTGAAGCCTGCCCCGAGCGCTGTCCAGCCTTCAGAATATTCCGCGCAAGCCTCCGAGATGTGACGAGAGAGAGAGAGATGGAGCGCATGCCGGCTGATTTACTCATCGGGCAGGACTATGTACATATAAGCCGTGCAATGCTTCCTCGTGTGTGACTTGTTCATCGGCTCAGTTGCATCATGGACACGCGCGTACTTTTCGAGCCGCGACAGTAAATGTATTTAATCAGGGAAGCGTTCGCGACTGCAGCGAGGATGTCGTAGTCATCATTCGTGTGACATTTTATATATATTCGGTGTATACACACCCGTCGGCGTGACTGGGCTTAGGTAGACACAGAACTCATGGAGCCTAGGAGATGCATGGACAGAATGGAGAGTTATGCACACAGCTCTACAATGGCATTCTAAATGTTGGCAAGAAGGGTTGAAACTCTTTTTTTCGATATGATAACGAAGGGTGGTATGCCACTTAAGTAAAAGCGTTAGAGTTAAGAATGATAATACAAAACAATCTGCGGTATTTTATTCAATTAATAAAAAATAAAATCGTTTACAGCCCTCTATGAATCCACTGTTAGATAAAGGGCTCCCACACTTTTCGGTTACGGGCGGTTGTGTGACCATACTTCACCGCAATTGGTAAAGGGGGGGGCGAGAGGGGGGAGCCAGAACCGCTTCAGATGTCACTCGCCACTGATGTTACTCGTGGCCGGGGATCGAACTTGGTTTCGCCGGGTTATCTTGCACGGTGCGTTAACCGCTGCGCCACCGCTCCACCCCCGGCCCTGGGTCGCGTGGATTGGTGAAGTAGCAACCCACGAGACGGGCACTCCGCGTATGTAGTTGGGAGGGAGAGTCGGCTGGGGGAGGGGAGTGGTTCTTCATCCTGCAGCGGATTGACTTCAGAATTAAAGATCCTCCGTGACTTTACCGAAAGAACCAAGAAGATGAATCCCTGCAGTCACGAAAGCTTTAAATCGAAGTTTAAATCCTCCGACGAGTTCGAGTACTTTTTTGTGCATTCGCCGTCGACTCCGGGCGCTACGAACCGTGCGTCTTGAGTTGAGCAGTGAGCGATATCTACGCTGGTCCCAAGGCATCCCCCGAGGTGGACTCAGCCTCAAATGAGTACCCAGTGCTGTGTGTAGTAAACATCGCCACAAGGGAGACAAAGGCGTCCGGGCGTGGCGTTGCCCTGCCCCCCCTCCTGCAATCCGCGCCCTGTCCTCCCCACCCTCTCGTGTGCGTGCCAGCAGCCGGCCTGAACAAGTGTTCGCCAAGCGGCCACTTGCCCCAACAATCTGTTCAGGCTCGACTGCGGCGCCTGGTGGCCTTTAGTGAGGCCCCTGACGTGCCCCCCTCCCCCCGCCCCCCCAGTTGCACGACAGACGTGACAACACCCACCCAGCCATTGTCGTAGTGCTCTCCAAACCCCGGTGGTATCAAACGCGTGGCGACACTCACGCTGATGTCTTCTCGGCGAAAGTGCTCCCCCACTCGCCCCCGTCCCTCGCAAAATGTAGTGAAGATCACGGATCGATTCTGGATTTGGAACCGTCAGCACGACTGTTGCATCAGTCGCGCTGTGACGGTTCCACCTGAAGACAGAAGCTTGTGTTGCCTCCGAAACGTCGTGATTTTTATTTTATTTTTTATTTTTTACTTTTGTTAATTTAAATGTTTTACCTACGTGACTTTAACGAAAAAAACCTAAGAATATCACTGATCGAATGTATATGAATGGTGGTGAGATCTTTGTCCTTTGCAGGGGATGCATACTTTTATTAATTTATATTTTTTTACCTACGTGACTTTACCGAAAACCCTAAGAATATCACTGATCGAATGTATATGAATGTTGGTGGGATCGTTGTCCTTTGCAGGGGATGCATACTTTTATTAATTTATATTTTTTTACCTACGTGACTTTACCGAAAACCCTAAGAATATCACTGATCGAATGTATATGAATGTTGGTGGGATCTTTGTCCTTTGCAGGGGATGCATGCCCGGCGCACCGCGCGGCTCTGCACGGCCCGTCGGCCCGTGCCCGAGGCAGCAAATCGAAGCGCCTGAGGACCATCTTCACGCAGGCGCAGCTGGAGCGCCTCGAGAAGGAGTTCGCGCGCCAGCAGTACATGGTGGGCACCGAGCGCTACTTCCTCGCCTCGTCGCTCCATCTCACCGAGGCGCAGGTACTGGCGCTCGCTCATCCTGCGAATGTCAATGCATCAAGGCCGTAGCCGTGGAGTCAACATTGGGGGGGACCAAATCTTCCAGGGGGTCTGGGGGTCCCCTCCCCCCCCCCCCCCCCCAGAAAAAAAAATCTAAATTTGAAAACGAATTTCCTGGCTAAAATATAAATAAAAAATCACTAACACGTAGGATGGATTTTTTTATTTACAATAATGTGTAATAGTGTATTGTATTGTATTACATTGAGCTGTTTTTTTATGTTTTACCTTTTCTTGTTTCATTGTATGAAATGGCAGAGATTAGGGATTAATGAAGTACAACCATAACCACAATCATATAAACAGAAATCTATTTTACAGCAATATTTTGGGGGGACATTTTGAGCATATATGAATATTGGGGGGGGGGGGTATGTGTCCCCCCCCCCACAATATGTGTCCCCCCAAATATATATTATAATGACGGCCTTGAAGTGTATTCATTCATCGACCAATGCGTGTGGTAGTGGGGCGGTTAACGCGCTGCGCTACGAATCCGGGGGACCCGAGTTCACGGGCAACACCGGTGACGATCATCTGAACCGGTTCTGGGCCTCCCCGAGGTCGACTCAGCCTTAAATTAAGTACCTGGTGTGGCGTGTAAACATCGCCACTGGGGAGTCAAAGGCGGCCGGGCGTGGTGCTGGCCACCCACCTCTCCTCGTGTGCCGTGCCGACCTTCATAGGTGCTCGCTAACAGCACTTGCTCCTCCAGCCTGTCAAGGCTATACGGGGGTTGGACGGGTCTTTGTCTTTGCGGGGAGCGAGAGAGCGCAACGGTTGTCGCGCCGAGCTCGATTCTCGCTCACGACCACCGCTCTCAAACCTCGTCCCCCCGCGCGCGTGCAGGTGAAGGTTTGGTTCCAGAACCGACGCATCAAGTGGCGCAAGCAGAGCTTCGAGCAGCAGCAGGCGCGCCTCGCCAAGCTGGGTCTGGCCCCGCTGCCCGCCCCGACCCCAGCCCTGGTCTCGGGCCAAATCCAGATGGGGACCTCAACTCCGGTAGCCGCCCAGATCCCCGGGCCCTCGACACACGACGTGGGCAGCGGTAGCGGCAGCAGCAGCGGCGGCGGCAGCGGCAGCGAGAGCGACGCGGAGTCGGAACGGGCGTCGCCGCCACTTACCGGCGCATCGCCCCGTGATTGAGGCGGAGGAAGATGGGGAGCAGGGGGGGGCAGGGGGGGGCGTTGGGAGGAAGAGGAATGGGGGGGGGGGCGTGATGAGAAGTGACGCGTGCACTTGTGCCACTTGGGCTTAGAGTTCCCAGACAGGCGCCTTTGGAGAATCTCATCGTTTCCGTTCTTGGTCTTCATGTGTTGCTGCTGCTGCTTTCGCTTCTTCCTATTCACATTCATGCTTTGAGTTCATCTTCAACTGCTGCTGCGGCTTCATTGTCTTCATCTTCTTTGATCGCATCATCGGCTCCTTCTCCATCATTGTCTCCATTGCTCAGTTTCTTATTCAGCTGCTTCGGCAGTTGCCTCTTGAGCTACTTTTTTAACGATATCTTATTTGGCTTGTTTGTTTGAATTCATCAACTGCTTCTCCAACGTCTTCTATCTTAATGTTTCTTTTATTCCACTGCTTGATGTTCAACATCCGCTTTATCGTCAGCTTCATCTTCCTGCTCTATCTGTCAGTGTCTATTTATCGTCACCTTACCAACTTACGTTGCCTCCTCTCTCCTAATTTAGCTGCTGCAAGAATCTGCGTTATTTGTGCGCGTGTTGAAGCTTCTCTCGCTCCGTACGCAGCCCGTCGGGCTCCTCGTAGGTGCGGACATTGGGACCCAAACAAAGCCAAGGCAAACGGTTCCTCCTCAAGATGCCTCAAAACCTTTGATTGCAGTCCCACCAACCAAACTATTTCTTCATTCTCAGCGTCGCATTGGACCGTAATAGCCTTAATTGCCTTCAGTATTTCAACGTATACTTTATTGCGTCCTTACTGTTTTTTTTTAACCCGTGAACATACATCTGTGTATATGTATATCCCATAGAGGTAGCAGAACATACCCTCCGTTGAACGGAGGGGTGTACATATTGTATATTATAGTTGCTATTATTACTACAACTACTACAGACCTACTCCGACTGTACCTGCTATCTTGTGAGTTAATTAAATAGAACAATGTCGTGGTGCATTGTGGGCAGGCCGAGCTTACAATCTTTGTAACTGCTGCATTACGTGTGCGTTTGTTTTATACTGCAGATTAATAGTAATAAATATAGTTGATTCTACCTGCGTATGTGTGTTTCTATAAGCAAAGTAATGTTCCATCATGCATGAACAATGTGTTGAGGATTGTTATGATTATTATTACAAAGACGATATTTCGCCTTGACACAAAGCACGCATGTCATTTGCTTCACGACAACACTGAGTTCAAACGGCCACGTAAATCGATTGTCGCCCAGCCTTGGTCTGTCCACTGCTCGATGAAGACAATTCCCCCACCGCAGTCTCCATCCTTCACGCTACCGCGATGATGCAGAAATTCACCTCGCTCATCCACCTGCGCTGATCTTGTCGATCCGTTTCCGCGGCGGTCGTTCCATCCTTCAGCTGCCATTCCGTCACCAGGCTCCTTCAGTCTGGCACTGACTTGACGTTGTGGTGGTGGTGGTGGTGGCAGTGGTGGCTGGTGGCGGCGGCGGCGAAGAAGCTGGTGACCACTCAAGACTTGAGTAGCTGTGCTGGATATTTTGTGTGTGTGTGTGTGTTTAGTTGTCCTTCCCCCGCACCTCCGATTAGCATGGTGAATCATCATCATCATCATGCAGGAAAGCGCGTTCGCTTTGTCATGCCGAGCCTATACACTTTGTAAAGGCGCAACCCTGCAATTGCTCGCTGTCGCCACTGCTGGCCAAATGGCGTCCACTCAGAAATATAATCTTAATGTAGATTGAGATGAGATGAAGATGTCCAGAGGAAGCTCCAGAGAGCACCCCTACATCGTAGTTTGGCCTACTCTTCCACGCTGACTAGACGTCTCGGAGAAGTGGGGGAGTTCCCACGCTTTACCCCACCACACGCGGCCTGCCCAACGACTCACCGTGGTGTGCACATTGACAGCACTTCCTGCAAACTGCTGGGTGGCCCCAGGCGGTGGTTGGGATTTGCTTTAAATAAAAATGTCGTTGCGCATTTTCTTGGTTCTTTCGGTAAAGTCACGTAGAAGGGAAATAATTAAATAATACAACTAAAACATAATACAATTAAAACGACGTTTCGGCCACAACGCAAGCAGCCGTCCTCAGGTGAAGAACAGGGCTGTCGGAAAGAGTTCATTCAGACGCTGTCTTTCCGACAGACCTGTTCTTCACCTGAGGACGGCTGCTTGCGTTGTGGCCGAAACGTCGTGAGAATTGTATTGAAACGTCAGCCAATTGCATTCATTATTTGCTTATCAGTCAATGTTAAGTAAGCATTTCGTCAATCGGGCTAATTATTGTGAGTTGTGTATATCTATACAGGGGGCCCAAAAGTCAGGACTCAAAATGTTATTTAATGTATCTTACACTGGCATTAAGTATAATAAACAGTTTATTCATCATCTTAATATTGTAGCTGTTATCGTTACTAATATCCTGTGGGGTCAACTCAAATAGGTATTTTACAAAACTCGACCGAGACCCCTGAATAAATTTAGACGAAACATAATTGATTCATGTTCAAATGTTGCACACCCGTAACCTTTAAACAAAGTTCTACATGTATTTAAAAAAGAGACTTCACGCACGCATTAAATGTCAATTGAAGTCAGTTTGAACATCTGTTTTTTTTTAATAAATGAAATAAGCTCATCTGATTTGTTAAAGTAAATAACCCTATGTGTCCTGACTTCTGGGCCACCCTGTATAATGGTACGCCGAACTGGGACCCTGTGGCATCAAGAAACCGTCTTTGGCTGAAAGATCGACAGTTCAACAACATTGCTTCAAACACACCTGACCCTTATAACAAAGGTGGTTGAGTTAGATCGCGTAAGTATAAATGTGTCGCAACCCTTCACCACCCGACACAGACAACTAGTAAGGGATTTGTCACGTAAACGAAAACGCCAATTAGCTACTACTTCAGCCCACTGGTGTGTTGGAGAGTATATCCACAACATTTACATCGATTTTCCAAATCGCCCGATGATGCTGTATGTAATTACTAGCAAAACGTCGTACTCAAATTGTAAATGTGGATTTGCTCTCCAACACACCATGGGCTGAAGGAGTAGCTAATTAGCGTTTTGTTTACATAACAAATCCCTTACTAATTGTCTGTTTTTTTTTGGGGGGGGGGGTAGAGGGTTACGACACCTTTATACTTACGCGATCTAACCCAAAGACCTTTATTATGAATAATATTGGTGGCGAAAGCCTCCGTGTTAATCCTGACTCTTCTGATGAGACACTGTGTGTCGAAACCGGACAGACATACGGACAGACGGACAGACGTAGTGACTGGAACGAAGACACACGGCCGGAGGGACACACCATGTGCCCGGATATTGCAACAAGTAGCCTCTGGGCTGCCTTTAGAAGAAATAACCAAGTACTAATTTGGCTCAAGCCGAGACTAATGTGACTTCAGAAAAGCGATTACTCGTAAAAATGAAGAGGCGGCCCATCACGTGAATTAATCGTTCAGTACATGGTCACGTGCGTCCATTCATTCGCCGAGATTGCGTTGAGAGCCCACCGCTAATTACAGCGACCAGGGGAAGATTTAGAAGAGGGCACCAGGGTGGTGGCTGTGCAGTGGGGGGAGGGAGGGGAGAGTGCCTTTGTGTTTGTGTGTGTGGAGGAGGCTCGTGAAGGACGCTGCTACTGGGCAGTTGGAGGCAGTCGCCCTCCAGCAACAACGTGGGGCAGAGGAGCGACGCTCACAACAACGAGCGGAGCGCCGGGTGGCTAAAAGACAGAAAGTTGGCACAGTAGGGGGTCACAGGTGATGCATCAGCCAGTCATCTCGGTCATCTTAGTTAGTCGACCCGTGGTACCTGCTGGGTCTGTCCCGAGACCTCCTGACAGCGGGCGTGCGACACTTCACGTGGCCTTACAGTGCATCTAGCCTGGCACAAGCGCCGTGGAGATGTCACCGCCAGTTAGTGGCGAATGGCATTTGTTGTTGTGCGTGTGTGCGATTTGTGTAGGTGGAGCGGTGGCGCAGTGGTTAACGCGCTGCGCTACGAAACAGAATCAGATCGGAAGTTTATTTCCCGAGTAAAGCCCCATTGAGCTTTTTCTAGGGCGACTCGGCCGGCAGACAACATCAACGCCTTCCAAAAATCCGGCGACTCGAGTTCGATTCCCGCTCACGATCACGAGTAGCGGCTGCCGCGTGTAAACATCAGCACGGGGAAATAAAGGCGGCCGGGCGCGGTGCCGGTTAGAAAACCCCTTCGTGCTGCTGTGCCCGCCTTTGTTGAGGCTCGCTAACAGCACTTGCCCCAACAGTCTGCACGGCTATATGGGGATCTTTGCCTTTTGCATGTGAACCTTATGGCGGTACCTCGAGGTCACCCATAGTGCCCCGGCTCTCGCACAATGTCCGTGCTGCAGCCACGTTCAGTCTGTTGATGGTCGGCGATGCGGCAATCGACTCATCTCGACGAGCTGTACACGATGCAACTATTCAAAGTTGAATTTTTCGGTAGCGGATTTTTGTATGCCGATGTTCGGCGTTTCGACATCGATTTCGGATTGATTGGTACCCCAGTCGCGGAGTTAACAAAAATTGTGTCCCAGAAATAAAGTATGTAATTGCCTCGGCAACTTTGTATTATTTGGTACCCGGGGTACCACCATAAGGATCATGTGTTATTGTCCTTCGAGTGCGAGTACTTATACATGAGTACACGTACAAAGATCCCCCGGATAGCCTTTAACAAGCTGTTGGGGAAAGTGCCATTGGCGAATACCCAAGGACGTTATTGACTTTCCCACGATGCAATTCATCACTCAGATTCGTTAACATTTCCTCAAATCGGTTCACACGATTTTTTTTTTTCAACTAAGCGTTTAATCGATACTCAGTGTCTACTCATGAACAAAACTAACGCAGCGCTGCTCATTTTTCAACTTTCCTCAGGGATGCCCCAGCTCCTCACGAAGCCACACAATGTAAAAGTGCATCCTCTGATTATAAAGTCCTATCAATTCTCCCTCCACTCTGTCTGCGTTTAAAGGGGGTTCGTTGGCCGATACGTCCACCGAATAAAGAGATGTGTTATGAGTGTTCTTGTGCGACTGAAGAAGGCAGCGAACTGGGTTTTTTTTTGGGGAAGTGGGGGGCGCAGAGAGGTACAGAGTGTGGTGAGGGTTGAAGAATATGATGATGAGAAGCAGGTGGTGGAACAGGATGAGAGGGAGATGAGAGCAGAAGATGGAGGAGGAAGAAGAAGATCAATTATTTAACCTGAATGCGAATCTTCGTAAGTCGAGTGTTCGTAAGTTGGAGCCTGCCTGTATTCTCCCTCTTGCAAGTCACCGTTAATGAAGAATGCGCGCGGTGAGTGTCTTTTTTTTCAACGCAGTGAGGGCGAGAGAGAGAGACAGAGAGACTTTGACTTTCAAACAACTTTTATTGCCGCCAGCAGCAAAAGCACTGGAGGCGATTTCGATCTGAAATACACAAAGTCACCAGCAACACAAATGAAATATTAACGCTACAAATCCACGCGCTGTGGCGCTACAAGCACCGCGCACAACACGAAAGAAAAGTCACGTGGTGGCTGTGGTTGTGGTGGTCATCGCGCACGCCACGGTGACGAGCGAGCGCTTCAGAAGGTGAACGTGAGGGTGCCGTGCACGCTGGTGCAGAGGGAGAGACACAGAGAGAGAGAGAGAGAGCGGGGGAGCGGGGAGGACGATGATAACTTTTATGAGCGCCCAAGAGTTCTGTCTGCGTTCACAAGGGAGCTTTGTTCGCGGAGCCGAAAGACGCCGGGAATCCACGCGACTTACCCCCCCCCCCCCCCCCCCGCTGCTATTGTATCCATCCTGCCGTAATGAGGGAGAGGGCTGCCGTGGAGCGGCATGTTTGTGTGTCTCGCTCGCTCTAGACGCCTCGGGGCCGGTGCCTGGCTCAGCAGCGCCGTAATTGGCTCTCTCGCTTCCTCTGTTATTGTGGCGTGCCAGGCGGAGTGACTCACTCTCTCTCTCTCCCCCCCCCCCCGTCCACGCTACTAATCTCTTTCTAATGAGCAAATGTTTAATCGCGATGGGTGGAACATGAGATTTGTGAGGATCCGATCGCTCACGCTGCCCTCTCTTGCTCTTCCTCCCGTCTCCCCCTCTGGTCCCAACCTCCCCCACTCATCCCATCTTGACGTTAGAGAACGGCTCAATAAATATAATAATAATAGCACACACCTCCTTGTCAATCAATCCCAAAAAAAACCACTATAAACTATACGCTTAGTTCTTTTGGTAAAGTCACGTAGGTAAAAAATGAAATTCAAATTATTTTTTTATTAATTTTAATTTCATTTTTTTCCTACGTGACTTTACCGAAAGAACTAAGAGTATGAATCCTTGCAGTCACGAAAGCTTCACATCTAGAACCACTATAAACTATTTTTATTTTACCTGGTAGAGCCCACTGAGCTATGTAGCCCTTTTTTTCCCAGGAGCGACCTGGCTATCACGCATGCAAGCTCCACGAAGTGGTTTGTCGATATCTGGACACGCAGAGCCGCCAATGACTCGAGACGCGGTATGTGACAACACTCCACGCGACCACGGGGAGAGAGAGAAACGCAAACTCCAAATGTACAGCAGGCGTCAGGGTTGCAATGGAACCCACGACCTCCTGTACACCAGGCGAGGGAGTTAACATCTCACCGTGCACCGTGAAGGTCACAGGGGGGAGGGGGGGGGGTGAGTTGTTTGACCATACTTCATGCGCAGTGTTGAGTCTATGGGTAGTGTGGGTCTATGGGCAGTGTGAGTCTATGCGCAGTGTTGAGTCTATGGGAATTATTGAGTCTATGGGTAGTGTGAGTCTATGGGTAGTGTTGAGTCTATGGGTAGTGTTGAGTCTATGGGTAGTGTTGGGTCTATGTGCAATGTTGAGTCTATGGGTAGTGTTGAGTCTATGGGTAGTGTTGAGTCTATGGGAAGTGTTGAGTCTATGCGCAGTGTTGAGTCTATGGGAATTATTGAGTCTATGGGTAGTGTGAGTCTATGGGTAGTGTTGAGTCTATGGGTAGTATTGAGTCTATGTGCAGTGTTGAGTCTAAGGGTAGTGTGAGTCTATGGGTAGTGTTGAGTCTATGGGTAGTGTTGAGTCTATGGGTAGTGTTGGGTCTATGTGCAATGTTGAGTCTATGGGTAGTGTTGAGTCTATGGGAAGTGTTGAGTCTATGCGCAGTGTTGAGTCTATGGGAATTATTGAGTCTATGGGTAGTGTGAGTCTATGGGTAGTGTTGAGTCTGTGGGTAGTGTTGAGTCTATGCGCAGTGTTGAGTCTATGGGAATTATTGAGTCTATGGGTAGTGTGAGTCTATGGGTAGTGTTGAGTCTATGGGTAGTGTTGAGTCTATGTGCAGTGTTGAGTCTATGGGTAGAGTTGAGTCTATGGGAAGTGTTGAGTCTATGTGCAGTTTTGAGTCTATGTGCAGTGTTGAGTCTATGTGCAGTGTTGAGTCTATGGGTAGTGTTGAGTCTATGGGAAGTGTTGAGTCTATGGGTAGTGGTGAGTCTATGGTTAGTGTTGAGTCTATGGGTAGTGCGAGTATATAGGCAGTATGTTGAACTTCTTTCGCACCGTACGTAGTCACCTGTGCTAATATGACGTCGCTCGTCAATCAGCCGTCGGTATCCATTGAAAGGAGTCTAACTCAGCTGGGTGGCCTTAAGCACGTGCGGAGCTCGAATCACTGCGCCATCGCTTCACGCATTCGACGCAGCGTTACACGTTCTTTCACCACTTACATAACGCCGCCGTTGCTGCTGTTGCAAGCACGCGTGCTGGTGATTATTACACAAGTAATATGCTTAACGTTTCGCATTTATCCTCATAAAGTATAGATACATAAAGCGCTGCTAGATAGAACACGTGGTGAGGCCAGCCGACAAATGCTCGGCTGCCTTTGTCTCTCGAGCGGCGATGTTCACCTAACCGCACAAAAGCACTCGTGTTTAGGCCGAGTCGACCTGCAGGAGGCACAGATCAGGTACAATTTCACCGTACACCATGAACCCGGTGACCTGAGTTCAATGCCCCTGGTAAGTAGAACTACTTTATTTTGCCGAGTTGGTCCCCCCACCCCCGTCCCACCGATTCACGAAACCCATTGTCACCAGCGGGGTGAAGTATGGTCAAACAAGTAAAATAAAAATAAAATAAAATTCAAGTGATACAGCTATCGTGCTGTGACGGTTCCACCTGAAGACGGAAGCTTGTGTTGCCTCCGAAACGTCGTCATTTTTATTTAATTTTTATTTTACTTTTATTATTTTTTTTTTACCTACGTGACTTTACCGAAAAAACCTAAGAATATGAATCCTTGCACTCACGAAAGCTTCAAATCTAGAATGGTCAAACAACCCCGCCACGACCGAGGGGACACGTTCACACAGCAGTGGGACTGACAAAATAACCCTTACGGTCACAAGCAGTAATATTCAATTAGACTACAATAGTTGGTGCGTTTAACAGGATTTAAAGGGATTACGGGGGTTTATCTCCTGCGGAGAGCTTCAACGCAATCTGTCACATTAATACACAACAATTGGACGAGTGCTTGGCTTATTATGTACATGTATATAGGGCACGTCGAGAGGAAATGTAATCATCATTCACAAGCTTACAAGCTGCTGTTGCTGCTGCTAAGTATTAAAATCAAAGCTTTTTTTTGGGCACCAATCCACTTTTGGATGAAGTCCTCCCCTCTACCCCCACGCCGTGTCGGCGGTGAGGTGGGTTTAGGGGGGGGTGGGGTGTTTGACCATACTTCACCACGCTGGTCAGTGCGGGTTGTTGATGTTTGAATGAGCGGCGGGGAGCGGCTCGGGCGAACGAGACGGAGACGACGCCCGACTGCTTACCGCCTGTGAAATTGAAACTTGCTTAGGAAATTAAGCAGAGTCTGTGTGTTGGGGCTTGGGGGGTAATTGGATTAGCAGCGTTCGCGTTCCGGCGTAGTGGCCCGGAATCGCCTCTGCCCGATGCACCACCGCCACCACCACCACCGCCTCCACCACCGCCACCACCACCACCTCCACCACCGCCACCACCACCACCGCCACCACCACCACCACCGTCACCGCCACCACCAACACCGATACCACCACCGCCACAACCACCACCGCCACCACCGCCACCACCGCCTCCACCGCCACCGATACCACCACCGCCTCCACCACCACCGCCACCACCACCGCCGTCTGCGCGTCGTCGTCCCCTGTCGCTCGCTCTGCCGGAAAATCCGAATGAAATCTCAACGTCTTGCCACGTCCGTGTGTGTGTGCGTGTGTGTATTTCTGCGCGTGTATTTCTGTGCGCGCGTGTGTATTTCTGTCTGTGTGTGTATGTGTGTGTATTTCTGTGTGTGTGTGTATGTGTGTGTATTTCTGTGTGCGTGTATTTTGGAGCGCGTGTGTGTATTTCTGTGCGTGTGTGTATTTCTGTGTGTATTTCTGTGCGCGCGTGTGTATTTCTGTCTGTGTGTGTGTATGTATATGTATGTGTATGTATTTCTCTGTGTGTGTGTACTTCTGTGCGCGTGTGTGTATTTCTGTCTGTGTGTGTATGTGTGTGTGTATTTCTGTGTGTGTGTGTGTGTGTATTTCTGTGTGTGTGTGTATTTCTGCGTGTGTGTGTATTTATGTGTGTGTATTTCTGTCTGTGTGTGTATTTATGTGTATGTGTATTTCTGTGCGCGTGTGTGTTTTTCTGCGTGTGTGTACGTTGGAACAGTAGTGGGCACAGGTGGTGCATCGCCCAGTCATTCAGTCAGTCGACCCATGTCGCCTGTGTCTGCCCCGTGACCTCCTGCCAGCGGGCCACTCACCCCCTCGTGTGCCTATCCGACCTTCATAGGTGCTCGCTCACAGCACCTTCCCCAATAGTCTGTTAAGGCTATACGGGAGGATGTTTGATTTTTGTTTCTCGCGCTCAAGGTCACCAACATCAGTGACGATAATTATCGGTCCTAGGCCTCCGGTAGGTCGACTCAGCCTCAAATTAGTACCTGGTACGGCGTATAAGCACTGCTCTACGAATCGGGTGGTTTGATACTAAGCGCAGTGCTTTAACCAATACATCACAAGCCAAAGATCCCCCCTTATAGCCTCAACAGACTGTTGGGACAAGTGTTGTTAGCGAGCACCTATGAAAGCCGGCACGGCACACGAGGGGGTGAGTGGCCAGCACCACGCCCGGCCGCCTTTGTCTCCCTAGTGGCGATGTATTACGCAACGAACCAGGTGCAGTGCTTATTTGAGGCTGGCAGACCCCAGGACCCATTCAAGATACTCGTCACTGCGGTTGTTGACCGTGAGCGGGAATCGAACTCGGGACGCCTAATTATGGGGTTATGCTTTAATATCGTGGTTCTTAACCCGGGGGTGCGAGATGCCCTTTCTGGCGGTGCGAGACGTGGCCAGATGTTTTTAGAAGGTAAATTAGCGAGACATATATTAAGCACGGGCACGTAAGTAGAACACTACTTTGTTTTATCAAATCCGATGTATTTACTAACAATATGAAAAAAAATCGATTTAAAAAAATATACGCTGCCAAGCTTGGTGGTGTTTCATTCAGACGCTGTCTTTCCGACAGACCTGTTCTTCACCTGAGGACGGCTGCTTGCGTTGTGGCCCGAAACGTCGTGAGAATCATTTTATTATGTTTTATTTTTATTCTTTTATTATTTCCCTTCTACGTGACTTTACCGGAAGAACCAAGAAAAATATGAAAAAATATAAGATTAAGAACCAAAGGGATGATGATTTAAGACTGCAGGAAAGGTTAAGAACCACTGCTTTAAACCAATACACTCCGCCTCCTCCCAACAACGACAAAGATCCCCCGTATAGCCTTAGCAGACTGTAGGGGCAAGTGATGTTAACGAGCACCTATGAAGGCCGGAACGGTACACGAGGGGGTGGGTGGGCCAGCACCACGCCAGACCGCCTTTGTCTCCCCAGTGGCGATGTTTACACACCGCACCAGGTACTCATTTCAGGCTGAATCGACCTAGGGGAGGCCCAGGACCGGTTCAAATAATCATCACTGGTGTTGGCCGTGAGCGGGAATCGAACCCGGGTCGCCGGGTTCATAGCGCAGCGCGCTAACCGCTACACTATCGCTCCCAACACCATACACACAGACACTACCAAAGGCTCCATCCACATGCCCACTCTCTCTCTCCCTCTGTCTGCCAACAAAGGGGACGTGATACGTCTTGTGTGGAAAGATCCCGATTAGGATGTTTGAGGTTTGCGGCGACGGATTCCGTGCAATTCTCTCTTGTCTGGCCGCTATGACCCGGCGGGGGTCATGGGGGGGGTGTGGGGTTTTCTCTCTGTTACCCCTTGGGCAGTTTGAGCTCCTTCTCGTTATTAAACACGCGTATCCCATTGGCAGCTTATGGGTTACCCCCCCCCCACCCCCCCCCCTACCTAAACAATGGTATTGCTCAGTGTCCTTCACTAATTTCCAGAGGGGGGACACTTTCGCCAATAAGACAGCGTCAGAGTGAGGGCCGC